CTTCTCTCATCAATCAGATCTCTTAAAGCCCATTGCAATAAAACCTCGAAAGTGAAATCACCCACGACGTTTGACTTATAAGGATCGACTGTCTCTGGTAAGCTTTTCCATTCCCCTTTCACGCTTCTTCTTCATCCACTACATCCTGCGTTTCATTAATCTTCCTTAGATTTGGGTTTTATACACTTCGTGCACTTATAAGCTGTTATTATTTATGGGTTTAGCCAATTTGTATGGATTAAACTAAGAAATGGACGGGGTTCTCTCTTATTTGGCTATTGTTCTATAGGTTCATATGCTTTTACAAAGTGTTTGGTAGTTGTTAATTTGTCTTCGGATTGTTTTCATTGTTGTTATATTCGATGAAAGTTTGAATTTTTTTCTGCTTAGGTTGAGCATCTATCCAACAATTTAATGTATGTTTAACCAATTCAGAAATTCTCAAGAATTATGCTATCTGAAAACTTTATATGAATATCCGATAGCTACTCGCTTGCTGTGGTGGTGGTGCCTGTGGTTTTTGGGAGTCCCTTGAGAGAGAGTAGTTGCTGAATACTTCAATGAGTTTATACCTTAGCGCTTTCGTATTCTGTCAATTCGATATTGATTCGGAACTTTAAATTAACCGATTCTTCTCTTGCAGTTGCAGAAATACTTCAACGAGTTTAGCCCTTTACGTATACTTATTCTATCAATTTGATATTGATTTTGGAGCTATTATATTAACCGATTCTTTCCTTGCAGTTGCAGAATAAACCTGAATTTTCCTCGAGGTCTTTTAATCATCCACCCATTTTCTAGAAGGAAATATTTCAAATGGCTGGCAAAGCAGCGCAATCAGTGGCGAAGGCAGTAGGGGAATACCAATACCCATGGCGTGAAAAGTTGGCTAAGTACAAGGTGGAGTTATCAAAGGGAGTGTGGGGTTATTGGGAGCTCGGAGCGTGGAAGCCTCTGGGGATCAGCGCGAGGCGTCGAGCCAGGCTCCGAAAGGAAATGCTCTTGGCGGGGCAAGATTGGCCGTACGATCCGGAGAGGAAAGAGATGAGAACCAAGATGAAAGGTCATAAATGTGACAGAATTGCAGCCGAGAAAAGGGAGAATACTGCTAATTTGATGCTGAAGATGCCTGAGATGCTGCTTGCTTATAAGAAACGCAGGTGGGAGAAGAAAATGAAGGAAGAAGAGAAATCCAAAGACAAATGAATCTGCATTTCATTTAATTTTAGTGAAAAAATAAGAACAAAAGGATGCTAAATCTTGTACTGATGGATTCAATGTTGTTTTGATCTTTTCTTAATGCTAATAGGGGGATTGAACTGTTGATTTTGCCTTTTTAGTGTGTTGATTTTGATGTCATCCATAACCTTTTGTGTTGAACCAGCCCTTAGATTCTCCCAGCCAGTATTTGTGCAAGTACTGGCTCCACTGACCTTATAGCTACATAATGGACACCTTTATTTCCTGCTATGCTTCTCAGATGTAAGAAAAACATTCTGTAGATATTAAATGGACGATTTACTCAAATAATTCGGGTTGGAGATTCGAGTAACAACTCTTGAGTCTCCAGATACATTCCCTCACTTTCAAAAGGGCTCTCATCTAAGGAAGAAGATGGGGGAGACATCAAGGCCGAGACCATTGTAGATTGCAGGATTTTGTTTATGTGAAATGTTTTCTGGTCTGGCAGACTGGCAGCTTTCTTGTCTGCATATTGGCACCTAGAGGCAAGATCATGAGCTCTGACCTCTTGCTTAATAAGGGGGCTGGTTGTGAGGCAGTTTGTGATGGTTCCGGTAATTTTATTCGTAGAACAACGGCAGTAGGTGCAAGTAGTCCGGTGCAGTTACAGCTTATCAGAGGAGCTTAATAATTTGATTTTAACGTGTCACGTTAACAAATTGGGTGGAAGTTTACCCGCAATCGAACTAGAAATGACTGTATTTTTTAACTTTAAATGCTTAATGATCAAAATAATTTTTTTTTAATTTCAGAGATCACTTTTGTAGTTTACCCAAAAAATTATAATGAAAATTTCTAAAAAGTAAATTTCCATTTTTAAAAAAATATATATAAACTTTTTAAAATTATTCATATAAAATTTTATAAAATTTGAACTTACCGATCGGATTATAAATCTGATGATATCTAATCTCAATTTATAATAATTTAATTGAAATGTCACTCGTCAAAATTTTGAAAATTCTTATGTGAGTAAGTTGTTAACTTGTTATATTATAATATATTTTTGCGTTTAAAATAATTTTATAGTTAATTATTTGTAATTAAAAATTAATGAATAAAATAGTAAATAGGATAAAAATAAATTCGTTCAAAATTTTATTAGTAAATAAAAATAAGCGATTAATTATACTTTCCATCAAACTCGGGGATGAACACTTCTTAAATAACTCAGGGATTCTCCCTAATTATTTGCTTCTCTTTTATCAATCACTTTGTAATGTGTGTGTTCTTTTATTTCCCCCCTTTTTCCCCCATAATTACTGCAACGATTTGATTTTATGAATTGAGGTTTGTAGGAGATTGAGGGTTCGTCTTAAGATTTTGAGGAAATGATGCAAATTCAATTACTCTCCTTCCCAAACTGCACTCAACCTCCTGCCAGCATTTCAGCTTCTCCCCACGGTTTCACTTCCTTTTCTACTAGACACCAGCTACCCAAACTTGTGGGAAATCTACATTTCCCGCCTTCTTCTTTTAATTCATCGAAAAGGGGATCCAGATTTCAATTCAGATCGAGAAAATGCGGTGGTTTGGCTAGGGTTCGATGTGAAGTGGTGGAAGACGATGGATTTTACATGAGGAGGTGTGTGGAGCTGGCAAGAACGGCAATTGGGTTCTCAAGTCCTAATCCTATGGTGGGATGTGTTATTGTGAAAGATGGCAAGTTCGTTGGTCAAGGGTTTCATCCTAAAGCTGGCCAACCTCATGCCGAGGTAACCATTTTTTAATGTTTCTATATATATATATATATATATATTCACTTGTAAATTGTATGATTTTTGAACTAGATTGCTGTGATTCTTCGTTTTATTCGAATTATATCTGTGTTTGATGCCTGTATCCGATGTGTAACCCTAAAAGGAACTCCTAATAGATGAAAAAGCTTAAAAAATATAGATCATATCCATGTTGGATGCATATCGGATCCGATAGTCACCCGAGTCCGACTAACAGTTTTTGAGAGCAATGATGGAACTGCCAATCAGGAATCCTAGGATAGATGAAGTTAGAGCAAAACCACTTGGTAAAGTTTGGGATTATAGTGTGAGGAAGACCTTGTTAAATGTTGTATTGGGATTATATAGTCTGAGTTTTATGTTTTCCGTTTGGAATTTGTCTTTCTTCTTTGTTAGGGATGTATATTAGAGTGAATGTAGAAAAAACAGTAAACTATTGCCAAGAGAACAGGAGCACACTAAGCACCAGAACTATTATATTGCACTAAAGACAGTACATATACATGCGTCTTGTGCATATAGAATAAGATTACAACTTATGATTCTAATAAAAAAAATCAAATCGTGGTCCAGTGTATCCTACAAATCATGCAAAAAAAAATTTTTTCATTTGCAGGCCATTTTCCTGATAATTGCATGTTCATTGATCAAGACTATGTTTGCAGGTTTTTGCTTTGAAAAGTGAAAAGGGTGGTGGTCGGTATGGTGGATCCTAACCCGTTTGTAGCTTCAAAAGGGGTGGACAGATTGACGGATGCAGGAATCGATGTGACTGTGGGTGTTGAAGAAGAATTATGCAAGGGGCTCAATGAAGCTTATATCCATCAAATGTTAACCGGAAAGCCTTTCATGACTCTTAGGTAAATCTCCACCCTATTATAAACCCGAATAGGACCTTTTATTTCCTTTTGTTCTGGGTTGTGCTATAGAATTCTAACCGAAGGCATCTGCTTGATATCCAGATATTACCTCTCAGTCAATAGTCACCTTTTAGACCAGCTCGGGGAAGGAGTCATCGAGGCTGGTGGATACTACTCAAAGTTGTTGCAAGAATATGACGTGATAATAATTTCTGGATCTTTAACTGAGAAGCTTTCAAGTTCGATGACACGGGAGCCAGTTGCCAATCAACCTCTTCAGATTGTAATAGCAAGTGATCCCGATCAACTTCATCCTCTCTCTAAAGAAGTCTCAAAGACTAGCATTTTCCGACAAAGAGATAACAGCAGGAAGAGATTTGGCTCAAAAAGGACTCAAGGGAGTGGTGTTGGAACAGATAAATTTGACTCCAATTCTGGAGTACTGGAAACGTCAGGGGTTGTGCAGTGTTTTTTGGATATGAGGGGCAGCTTTGCCAATCTCGAAGGGCTTGTTAGAGAAGCTATTGAGCAAAAAAAGTGTTGCAAAAGATAGTAATTGAAGTGTTGCCATATTGGGATGAAGCAAATGGTGGAGAGTCACTTGTGGCATTGAATGGTTTGGTTAAAAGACTAGAAGTGAAGAACTTGCTGCCCGTGATCTCAAATTGAAGCGTTGTGGTTGAGGGATATCTTCAACATAAGTGATTACGATCTTATCAGCTGCCACCATGTTTGTATGATAGGAAGACGGCCCTTGGATGTCAGGCGAGTGTATGACAGGGATAGGTGTGAATACTCATTAATTGTTAAACATACACCAATTCCTTCTTGCAAACCTAATAATATTTATGACAACAGACATGTATTGCAATCAATAAAAGAAAGTACAAAAGAAGGCAGTTTCTTTTAGAATTCAGATGCTTTTATTTATAGTGATAAAGATGATAGCAAATGCAACAACCGAGAATTCCCGGCACGAACTAGCATCGAAGTAGACAATGTGATACCATGCCAACTAAACTTCTCTCCTACAACCCTGGTTAAAGTTTCAGGACTATGAAATTTGAGAACCTAATAGAAGCATAAAAGGGTTATATCCCTTTAATGCATAATCGTCACCAGAAAAAGTCTGGATCACTTGAGTTTTAGAATGCGTGCCCACCATGCGTAAGGACCGAGACCTTGAAAGACCAGCTTCATTAACCCTAGGAAACATCCGAATGAGAGTACAAAATCAATAATCTCGACATATTAGCAGAGAATAAATAGTAGAACATTCCAAATATGGAAAAAGAGAACAAAGAAATTACTTCATGCATGTAATCTAAAACTGTTGCTCACCATTGTTACAACTGTAGGCTAAGGAAACATCCCAAATAAATCACCGGCAGTAGATAGCCTGATCGATATGTGGAGGAATTTGCTTAATTTCAGTCCCAAGTTCTTGCTCAATCCTATACCTGTTTGAAAAAGCCATATAATCAATGAATCATTATAACTTCAATGTATACGGTACTAAAAAATTTCAAAGCCTTGTTGTGGTTAATTGGATTAAGAATTTGGGGGTTGTCCCAATCAGCTGTGTTTGTTGTTGAATGGGATTTTAGAGTTTATTAGGAATAAAGCTGTGATGATCAGACATATTCTTAGAGGGGCCAATTGGGAGGCGGATAAGTTGGTTAAAGAAGGCATTAGATGAGAGGGGTTGTTATTATGATGGTTAAGGGGGGGGGGGGGTTTGTTTTGTTTGGTTTTTCTGGTTGTATGTTTCTGGTGTAATCTAAGTTGTAATTCTCAATGGTTCAATAAAATTTATGAGACACTCTTTTCCTCCTTCCATTGCTCGACGAAACTTTCATATTTCGTTGAGTACGAAGGGGGGTTTTTAATGAGGTATCCCTATTCTATCAAAAAAAAATTCAAAACTGCTAAATATATGATAACATACAATTTAAAGCGGTCCTCGTAAGTGATCAAATTTACTGCTAGTCCGAGATGCCCAAACTTTCCTGATCGACCAACCTGCTCATTTAATCGGATGTCCATGAGGATTACCAAAAAGAAAGATATATGCTGCAACTTTAAAAGATAGAATATCTTAACCAGCATACTAAGTGAAGGTAGGTTTCTGAGTTCTTTGGGAAGTCGAAGTTAATAACAACATTCACCGCTTGAATATCTATACCCCTTGTGAAAAGATCTGCCACAAGTATACTTGCATCATTATGAAAATTATTCTTCATATAGTGAGTGTTACGGAATGCTTATTAGAGCAAAACCATTTTCAGCACTAGGGAATTAATACAAGTGAAACTAAAATTAGAAGAATGCTGACAGAACAAAAAATCAAAACCAAAGCTTCTATATTACTCAAAATGTACCACCATAAGTTGGCAATCATTCAAGTTCCAATATCCACATACTTCAATCAATGTCTTAATTAAGGATTTTGCAAAAGAGAAACATCTAAGCTCAAAGTGTGGAGTAGAACTGAAAAAGACAAGCAGTTGGGGGTTCGGGTAGTATGTTATACATTCCAGCAGCACAAAACAAAAGAAGATGAAAAGAAAACAAATGCCTACAAGAAATACAGCAAAAGGAAGTCCAACAAACTATATAAGCTGTAAAACATGTAAATTACTAGTTAAATAATCAAATTATCCAGGAAGATTAGCACATACGATAAACCCACAGCATGACATACCAGTACAGACAAGGTTCCTGCAAGCTCCATTGCCGAAATCATGAAATACCCTGTTACGATGGTCCTGAAGCATCTTTGCATGGATATAAAAGCAAGAATAACCAAGCTCTATAATTTTCTTGGCCAACTACTCCACTCGATTAACCGAGTTGCAGAAAATGATTGATTGGTTTATTTGCAGCTGTAGATAAAAAACTTCACGTATCATATCAACAAAAGGAACAGAGAGAAGATTAGATAAGTTCATCCATTAGATTAATGATATAGGGTTTTTGTAGATATCTGTCTTTGAAGTCCTTAACAGTAGCCAGAAATGTGGCTGAAAACATCAAAATTTGGTGATTTTCTGAAAGGAACCGGATCAGCTGTTCCACAGAAGGTTGAAACTCAGGAGACAAAAGTTTATCTGCCTCAAAGAAACCAAAACACATAACATCGAATTGTGCAACTGACAAATTTAAGTCAAATACACTCCAAGACAAGGGGGGAAAATCAAATAGCTTTCCTTTTACATAAACCTCTAAGAATTATTATCCTAATGACACACTTCTTAACTCGTGTTGAAGACAAACTATATAAAAGAAATATGAGAAGAAATAATATAATACGAAAATAAAAAGAACAAAAAAAAATCAGTGCAGTAATATGAATGCTAAAGATAAAAGCGCTCAATCATTGCAGAAAAATAGACATTGAGACTCTGGCATCTAATGAAATTAGTATGCACAAAAATAAATAAAGACAGCCAAAACCAACTTCACATATTATATCAGTTAAATTTTCCAAAGAGAATATAGAATAATGGGTTTGGTATATATCATTAACTTGCAAACACAAATGAGTATTAAGAATTACATTTAAATACCTTAAGCCAAAATTTCAAAAAAAAAATTAATGCAGACAAACTAATGCAAGAACTAGGAACTTGGAGAAAAAACAGTAAACTATTGTCAAGAGAACATGGCGCACACTAAGCACCAGAACTATTATATTGCACTAAAGACGGTACATATACATGTGTCTTGTGCATATAGAATAAGATTACAACTTATGATTCTAATAAAAAAATCAAATCGTGATCCAGTGTATCCTACAAAGCATGCCAAAAAAAATCATTTGCAGGCCATTTTCCTGATAATTGCATGTTCATTGCTCAAAATATTGAGAATGAAGAGCTTGATATTGTCCCCAATTTTTAGAGTTAAAGGTGCAGTTAACTAAGAGATGTAGAAAGTAAAGGAATTAAGAACTTCAAACAGGTGAGCATTTTTTACACCTATCAACTTATAAAGAAAGGATGCATAGGCGCACCAAGTGCATGACCAATCAGATGTACCTAGGCACACTTCTTCGGTGCATGCCTCAACATGGATAAATGTACCAGGTGCAGGATACTAATACTTTCCCCTTCTAGCGAAAAAAGTACAAATACTTTAACGACGACCAGTTCAAATAATTGCAAACACTTCTATCCTCCCACCCAACCAGAAAGACAGGCCATAAAACCATTTGTCAGGTTACATCAAAAAACAGATTTCTTTCCTTGTACATCCAAAATGCTGGTGGATGGCGTGGAGTCGGCTTTCTTTTGAGTGGCCTCGAGGACATGGGAGTAGCTTCCTTTCTCCCTGAAGAGTTGAGCGAAATGGTGGTTGCAGTAAAAGACTCCATTTAAAGCAGCGTATGAAGCATGATTTATGGAAACATTCGCCTTCCATTGTCACCTAATCACCAATCAATATGGAAAAATATCCGATCATAATATTTAAACCATTAGTAATTTATAAATAGAATTGAAATTCCAAAATTTAAAAATATAAAGAATAAAATTGCTCAAATTAAAATATAAAAAATAAATCACAATTTACGAATAACATGAAACTAATAGTAATGTTTTACGTAAATAACTTGTTAAAAGTGGTAGTTCTGATATGTGGCGTTCTAACTAAAGGTTAATTTACGGCGGGTTTAACTTAAAATGTTATACAATTGATAATAATTTTACTTATAACTAAGAATGATACATTGCAGCGGATTTAACTTAAAATGTTCTTTGTAAACCCAAAAAGTTGCATAAAAAATTCAGTTACATAATGTATTTACAGTAATATTTTAGGTTGCAACCAGAATAGTTATACAATTTACATGATTTATTATGAAGAATATAATATTTTTGGTTTCAACCTAAAATATTATCCAATTTACTCTAAAATTTTACTCTTGATAAAATTTCCCATTATAATTGATTTCTGTCTTTTTTAACTCTATAATAACCGATTGTATTTTAAACTCATTAAAAAGATAACAATGTAAGCCTTTTTAATATATATATATAAAATCCAAAGAAACATGCATTTTGTAAGAAAATGTAAGAATACTCGATAAATAAATAAATAAATCCTACTCAGTAGAATTCTGCTATTAAAATTGTTACATAATATATGAGCATTACTTGTATGAAAATTCTTGATGTAATTTCCAGATTCCTTGAATAGTTGCTCAAAATGAGTCTTGCAATAAAGGACTCCATCCATTGAAGAATAATTACTCCATCTATGGGGAAAAAACAATTAATTCATATATTCAAATTTAAGTCAATAACCTTTCACGTTTTCTTATTATTTTTCTAAAAGGGAAGGAGTAGAATTTTAGTTTGACATTTCTTTGAGGACATCCGACAAAGATAGTAACATATCTATAAATATTTTTTAGGTAAGACACATACATATATATATATATATATATATATATTAACAACATATAAAATTTATATAAGATGAGTGTAAATAAAATTTCATGATAGATACTATCAATATGTAGGTTAAGACAATGACAAAATTAACATTTCGACCTTGAAGCTTATAATTCGGTTCTTGCTCCTAAAATTGTAAGATTTAATTGGATTCAATAATCCTAAACGTAACTACATTTTGACCCCTTCAAAAATTTATAATTTAATTTCAACTATTTTTAAAACATTCATAACTTCACCACTATTATAATAATTACAATAATTTGGTTCAGATCAAGGATGATTTATCCTAAACTTAGGGGTTGTTTGTTTACTTCAGAATGATTAAGCGCTGAATGATTCAAATGCTGAATGATTCAGAGGCTCTGTATGAATTAGCTCTGAATGTGACATGATGTTTGATAATGACTCTAAATCATTCAGAATGTACTTCTGTGCTGAATCATTCAACACTGGATCATTCAGAGGTGTGAAACAAACGCGCTAAATGATGAACGGTTCAGCATTCAGCGTTGAATGGTTCCATTAAGAGGCAAACAAACAGCCTCTTAATTTTGTTCTGATCTCATCTCTCTCCTTTATAAAATATGTCCTACACCGATTCTACTAAAAAATGATCTTATAAGATCAGATCAAAACTCATCGAGTTTGAATATTTTATTCATCTTCATATCTATTAATCTTCTAAGGATCCTTTAATTTAATTAAAAGGATTAAAAGCATACGTATTAAACACAAATATGTACTCACGACTAACATCATAGTCCAATTAACATATCTAAAAACCAACCCAAAAAAAAAAACTTAAAGCATATAATAAAAATTGAAATGAAAAGGAGAAACATGAAGTACCACAAGATTTCCCTTGCAATGGGTACCACAATATTTTTGCATTAACAAAATTGCTATTTGGAGATGGGGGTAATAGTGCTTATTACATCTCACCATGGCTAGCTCCACCTGTACTTGTGCTATGCTTTTATGTCCATTCGAAAATGTATGAAATTCTTTAATTTTTAAAAAATAAAATAAATTAAGTTTCTGAACCTTTTATATCTAATACTGATTATAGGATCATTTAGTTCTTTGAACCGAAAATTGATAATATAATTTTTAAATAATTATGTATAGATCATATGAAAATTAAATACCCAGAATTATAGTATTAATACAATTTCTTTTTTTGTTTAAAAGTTTACTAAAAGAAGAAAATATATAAAATAAAAAAGCTATTTGAAATTTTAAAGAATTCAAATTAGTCATTCACAAAATATACATTTTAGAATTACACTAAATTACCAAAATTATATGTAATGAATACCATACGTAGTCTCAAACAATTCCTCTCTCATAAATTAATCATATAGGATGCATTACACATGCATAATTTACGGTCACTCATACACGTTGTCATGACACGTATTACACGTGCTTTCCTCTTAGACGTTATATGATGTTTCTTTTTTCTATGTAATTTTTAGATTTGAACATTTCTTACCTCGGATAAATATAACATATTTTTTTTTACTTTTATTTAAATTTAAAGGAAGTGATTAGAACTTGTAGAGAGATTTGGAGAAAATGTATATTATTTTTAGACGCTTTTTTCTTTATGCTTCTTCAATAAAAATAAGAATTTAATGGTGTGAAATTATAAAATTTCAGGCATAAAAATTATTTCTTCAATAAGAATGATATCGATTGAATTTAAAATTATATTAACAATGGACACATTGAAACATAATCAACAAAAAATTGATTAGAACCTAATCCGTAAAGTACATTGAAAGCTTGAAATTAGGGAAACCTCTTTGAATAAGAGTACATGAACATTATGGTGTTAAAAGGGAAATAGAAAGATGATGCAAGGATTTAAAGAATGGTGAATTCAACGTGTTGGATTGAGATAAACAATAAATACTTTAATTCAAACAACTCGAACTTTTACCTCAAATCAAACAGGATTATTAAAATTAAAACTAAATCTTGCTTGAACCAACGATGAAGTCTCAAATTTTGGGTCGAACGCATATTTTTAGTGCTTGGACTCGGCTAAATTCCAGTACACCGGAGAGGCTAACCGGTTAAATTTCATTGCTAACCATTTCCCATCCCATGATATATGGCTTCACTAGTCAAGTTGGCAGCACAGTAAGAAGATGAAGTTATAAAGTGGTGAACTCACGAGTCCTCTAGCTGAAAAAAAATTAGGGTTTTTGAACAATGAACACTAACGAGACATCTTTTTTCATTAGTTGAGGTAGATAACACAGCATATATATATATATATAAAGAAAAAAAAATCCCAAGACCCCATGGCTTAGCAGTCCTATATTCCATCCACCTATAACCATCCCGGACTTGCGCTTTCTGGTCTTCGCTTGTAACTATTAAATGAAGGAACAAAGATTATCGGATTCAGACCTGAGCTAGCCTGCGGTGT